GGGAACTGCGATCCCCCGCGTCTCCCCCCCGAAATGACCTCTGCTCGTCTGTCCTGAACTTAGTTCCAAACAATTTCATCGGGTGCTCCCAAGTTCTAGTATTATAAGGGCTGCCAACCGGTGGCACCTGGAGATCTTGTTATTACAATTTATCTCAACGTCCAAAATCAGTTTCCCCCCGGAGAAAACGGCTGCATTGGAGGGTGGGCTCTATGGCATTATACCCTGCTGAGGTTCCTCCTTTCCCCAAATCCAGCCCTCCCCCAGGCTCCACCAACGAAATCTCCAAGTATTTCCAAACCCAGAGCTGGCAACCCTAAATGGGAGAGGAAGAAAAAGACGCTTTTATCCACTTTCTCCAACCCATGCAGGGTTTTATAAACCCCTGAGCCGTCTTTTTTCTAGACTGAAAAGTCCCAGACTCTCTAGGCTTTCCTCATGGGACAGGTGCCACAACCTCTCTCTTCATCTCGGTTGCCCGCCTCTGTCCTTTGTCCAGCTCCGCAATGTCCTTTTTGCAGGGCTTTTTTGTAGAAAAAGCCCAGCAGGAACTCATTAACATAATAGGCCACACCCAACAGCAGAAACACATTAGCGTATTAGGCCACACCCCACGTGTTACCAGAAGTGTGGTCATCCAACCACACCCACCTTTTGCTTCTTGTTCTGTTTACTTTGTTGACAAAACCCTGGGCTTTTTTTGTAGCAGGAACTTCTTTGCATGTTAGGCCACACACCCCTAATGTAGCCAATCCGAATGAGTGTCTGCTGTTGGGTGTGGCCTATTATGCGAATGAGTTCCTGCTGGGCGTGGCCAACTCGGGAGCCAGCCGGAACTCTGTTCCTGTGCGTTCCTGCCCAAAAATAGCTCTGCCTTTTTGTAATCCGGCAACCAGAACTGCACGCAGTATTCCCGAGGAGGCCGCACCATAGATCTATAAAGGGGCTTTACAACATTGGCCTTTTCATTTTCAATCCCTTTCCTAATAACTCCTCCCGTGGAGTTTGCCTCTCTCGCCGCCGCTGCACATCGGGTTGACTTTTTCATTGGACTTTCCCCAGCCACCCCAAGATCTCTTTCAATCTCCGCCTCGGCCAGTTCAGACCCCACCAGCATATATTTAAAAATAGGAATTTTTTTTGGTTCCAGTATGTATCACCTTACACTTACCCACGCTGAACTTCGTTTGCCACGCTGCCGCCCACTCCATCCAACTGTCACCAGCAGTCTCCCAAAAGACAATTCTGCACACTCTCACTTCCCACTCTTAGGTCTTTTCACCCTTAATGGTCTGTTATGGGGGGGGGGGGGGCATGGTATAGCCTGACCTTGTCAGATCTCGGAAGCTAAGCAGGGTCAGTACATGGAAGAGAGACCACCAAGGAAGGCTCTGCAGAGGAAGGCCATGGCAAACCACCTCTGCTTCTCACTTGCCTTGAAAGCCCCTTGCTGGGGTCACCATAAGGCTTGGATGAGAGACCACCGAGGAGGACTCTGCTGAGGAAGGCCATGGCAAACCACCTCTGCTTCTCACTTGCCTTGAAAGCCCCTTGCTGGGGTCGCCATAAAGCTTGGATGAGAGACCACCGAGGAAGGCTGTGCAGAGTAAGACAGACCGTCCGATGGAAGTTGAAAATTGTGAGTCCAAAGCTGTTTGGAAAAGTTTCTGGATTTAGGAATTCCTTCTTGTGAAGTATTCGTATGAAGAGCATTAAAGAACTGAGATTCTGAGGTTTGTTTGATAAAGAACTGTATCGAAACGAACGCTAGAACTCGAGAAGTTCGTAATCTGCGTTTCTGCTCATCTCGACGGCGCTCTTTGCTGAAAACAAGAATTAAAACATCTTAGAATTCTATTGTTGTTCTATATTATTGCCAACTATTTTCTAATTGTATGCACATCTGCAGCAATTTTGTTTGTCTTTGTTTCTTTCAGAGTAAGGCTATGGCAAACCACCACTGCTTCTCACTCGCTTTGCTGGGGTTGCCATAAGGCTTGGAGCCAGTTTGGTGTGGTGGTTAAGTGCGCGGACTCTAATCTGGGAGAACTGGGTTTGATTCCCCACTCCTCCACTTGCACCTGGCTGGATGACCTTGGGCAAGCCGCAGTTCTGATAAGAGCTGTTCTTGAAAAAGAGCAGTTTCTGTCAAGAGCTCTCTCAGCCCCACCCACCTCACAGGGTGTCTGTTTTGGGGAGGGGAAGGGAAAGGAGTTTGTAAGCCGCTCTGAGATTCCTTTGGGTAGTGAAGGGTGGGGTATAAATCCAATCTCTTCTTCTTCTGGATGAGAGACCACCAAGGAAGGCTCTGCGTAGGAAGGCAATGGCAAACAATTTCTGCTTTTCACTTGCCTTGAAATCTCTGTGCTGGGGTCGCCATAAGACAACTGCGACTTGACGGCACACACACATTGGCGGCGGGGGGGGTATCTTCGCTTGCTCTTTCTTCTAAAGGAAGTAACATTTTCTTCCATTCCTAGGGATCCCCTCAATAGACAGTACTTTGGGCAGAGGGTGAAGCGGAGGACCTACAAAGAATTGCAGGGGTTGGAAGGAAAATTGGGGGGGGGGCAATCTCTCCCTCCAGGACTCTTTTAAGTTTTCAGGCAGTTCTGCACACGTGGGGAATCATAAGAACTTAAGGGAATGTAAGAGAAGCCAGGTTAGATCAGACTAATGGTCTTGTTTCTAGTGACTACTCCAGTCAGATGCCAAAAAAGATTCTGGCAAGCAGGGCCTATGAACAACAGCCCTCCCCTGCTGCCTGTTCCCCTAGCATCTGACAGTCTAGAGGAATTCTGCCTCTGAACCCAGATGCCCCAAGGAGCTATCAGGACTACTAGCCAATGACATAACTCTCTTCCACAAATCTGTCTGACTTCCTTTGGAATCCATGTAACCCAGTGGTTATCACATCTTGAGAGCCAGTTTGGTATAGTGGTTAAGAGCTGCAGATTCTAATCTGGAGAGCCGGGTTTGATTCCCCACTCTTCCACATGCAGCTGCTGGGTGACCTTGGGTCAGTCACAGTTCTCTCAGAGCTGTGCTCTCAAGAGCAGTTCCCTCAGAGCTCTCTCAGCCCCATCCACCTCACAGGGTGTCTGTTGTGAGGAAGGGAAGGAGAATGTAAGCTGCTCTGAGACTCCGAGTGAAGGGCCATGGTATAAATCCAATCTTCTCTTCTTTTGTGGCAGTGAGTTCTACAAGTGAACTACCGGATGAACGAAGTAGTTTCCCGATAACTGTCTTCAAGTGGTTCGATTTTCCAGTTTTGTTTTTTATGGCTGATGGTTTGATCTTAAATACAGTACTAGCTGGAATGCCACAAAGAATGATGGGCAAGAGAAAGTATTTGGAAATCTTCACTCCACAAACTCCCCCTCATCTATCTGTTTAGTACATTTTTATCTCACCTTTCCCCCAAAGAGCTCAGACCAGCTTATGCAGTTCTTCTTCTTGGGAGGCAGAAGGGAGTGAGAGAAACTAAGTGTCTGAAGGTCATCCAACAGCCTTCATGACAGAATCCCCTCCAGCCTTCTCCAAGTTCCAAGGGATCCCCATACAAGGGACAAGCCCTCCTTTGTTTTTAAATAGCTTTGGATGGGTGTGGCTTGCCTTTTTCTCTTGGCCACTTTACAAAGTAAAAAAGAAAAGAAAATCTGCAAAGCTGGGCCAGTTAACGATTGACTCAAGGACCATTCTGTCTACTGTCGTAAACAATGATAATAAGCATAATCTAAAACATAAAACAGGAATCCCTTGTCATCTTAATGTCGAATGAAATTTATTCCAGCAACTTTTGTGGGATCAGAGCTCACTTTCTCAGGTGCAGGGATAAACTGAGAGCCAGCAAGGTGGGGTGGTTAGAGTGTCAGACTGGGAACGAGAAGACCCAGGTTCAAATCCTGCTCTGCCACAGAAGTCTGTTGGTTGACTTTGGTTTGGACCAGGGGTGTCAAATGGCCGCTTTGGAAAGTGGACTCTGTGGCATTATATTAGGGTCGCCAGCCTCCAGGTGGTAACAGACACACGGGAAACATGGCAAGGTCGAGTAAAACGGTGATTTTCCACGTTTTACTCAGCCTCCAGGTGGTGGCTGGAGATCTGCTACCATTAGGACTGATCTACAGGCGACAGAGATCAGTTCCCCTGGAGAAAACGGCCGCTTTGGAAAGTGGTCTCTATGGCATTATGCCCCCCACTGAAGCTATCCAGGTATTTCCCAACCCAGAGCTGGCAACCTCAGGAGGAAAAGGAGAGGTAGCCACGTTAGGCTGTAGCAGCAAAAGGAAAGAAAAATATCTTTAAGTTGAACATGTTGTAGGGTTGCCAACGCCAGGTTGGGCAATTCCTGGAGATTCTGGGGGGTGGATCCTAAACTGGCGATCAGTCGCAACAACAGGAGATCTCCAGCCACCACCTGGGGGTTGGCAACCCTGATATAATGCCGCAGAGCCCACTTCTCCGAAGCGGCCATTTTCTCCGGGGGAACTGATCTCTGTCGCCTGGGGACCAACTGTAACAACAGGAGACCTCCAGCCGCCGCCTGGAGGTTGGCAACTCCATTTCCTCCTCCATTTCCTCCCCCTCCAACCACTCCAGCGCCAAAGCCGCTCCGAGGGGCGGTCGGCAGCTGCCGCAAAGCCGCCCGCACTTTGAACGCGAAGACCCGGATGATCCCCCTCCTCCCTCCTCGAGCTCTCAGGCCGCCGCTCCGAAACCGGCGAGTAGGCGGCGGGCCCCGCCTCTTCCTTCCTCCCTCCCCCCCCTTTTTGTCCCCAGGCGGCTTCCGTAGAGAGAGGGAGAGGGAGAGAGAGCGCGCGCGCGCCGTCGCTTTCCGCAGCCGCGGCGAAGGGAGGCCTCTCCTCTTTCTCTCCCGCCCCTCCTCAGTCCTCGAGTGGGCGAGAGCGGCGCCGCTTGCGGGTCCCTCCTGCTGCTGCTGCTGCTGTTCGGGCGACGCTGCGACTGGGAGGCGCCATGGCGGCCGAGCTGAGTGACATGGCGGAGCCGCCTCAGTGGCTCTCCTCCTCGTCGTCCTTCTCCGGCGGCGGCGGCGCTGAGGAGGCGGCCGAGAGCGAGGCGTCGTCGTCGTCCTCCTCGTCGTCGGCCGTGAGCATGGAGGCCGAGTCGCCGCCGCCGCCGCCGCTGGGCGAGGGGGCGGAGAGCATGTCGGAGCCCAGCCCGGAGAGCGCCAGCCAGGCCGGCGACGGCGACGACGAGGAGGAGGACGACGAGGAGGACGAGGCCGCCAGCAGCGCCGGCTCCTCCAGCGGCTGCAGCAGCGACGAGTCGCGCTCGCTCAGCCCCGGCGGCAGCGAGGCCGACGCCAAGGGCGAGGCCGGCGGTGAAGGAGGAGGAGGCGGCTGCGGCGGCGGGGCCGGGCCTGGGAGCGGCGGCGGCGGAGGGACGGGAGGAGCGGCGGCGGGAGGCGAGAGCGGCGGCGGCGGCGGCAAGAACTGCAGCAGCAGCAGCAGCAGCACCGTGTCCAGCTGCAGCAGCGGCGGCGGCGACGAAGGCTACGGCACGGGCGGCGGGGCCGGCGGCCGCGGAGGGGGAAGCGGCGGCAGCAGCACTTGCAGCACCTCGTCGGGCGGCCGCCGGGGCAGCCTGGAGATCTCCTCGGACGGGGAGCCGCTCAGCCGCATGGATTCCGAAGACAGGTCGGTGGGGAGGCGGCCGGGTCCCAGCCAGGCTTCTCGTTGCCTCTGGTCAGGATTGGCAAAAACACACACACACAAAACACAACCCCCCCACACACACACACACGCAGACACACATGCTGGGTGTTTTCCCTGCATGCGAAATAATGCCGTTTCAATCCACTTCAGCAACCCCCTTTGCGAGTGGAGTTTGCCATTTTCGCCCAGTAAAACCCAGTTACACAGTGGATTGAAAGTGTGCTATTTATTGTGTGCGAAAGTGCCCTACGCACAATTCAATCACGCCATCTGTGCTTTCTTCCCTTTGCCCTATAAAGGCAGCCTACTTTCTGGGGTTAGAGGCCAGAGGGAATGGGGGGGGGGGCGCGTACCCTGTTTATCCTTTCTGCCCTGCTCCCACCAGGGTTTTTATTTTGCATCTGTTTCTTGGTTGAGGGTCACCTGCATCCTACTCCCCCCTCCCCATCCGATTTGTGGTGTCCAAGCTTCAGTCCCTGGGTTGTGTGGAAGTTGGGGGAAAGTCCCTTTCAGGACTAGTGGTTGTCCTAAAAATGTCCCCCTAAAAATGTTAGGCCTCCACTCCTCCATCTGTTTCTCAAGAACTGTATGGCTGGCCCGGCCCCAAGATGAGGCTTGGTAGTCACCCCTAATGCCCTGGACGTGTCAAAGCTGTGATGGCAGGTCCAGGGGCTCCTTGTTATTGTACATGGTCTGGAAAGTCTTTCCTTCTAGGGCCTGGAGGCAGCAGAAGACATCTTTATTTGTGGCTTGCTTGCTGTGTACGTTCAGGTGTGAGAAGTGCTGTGATTCACTCGCTGTTGGCATAACTCTTGCTGGTTATCAGAGAAATTCCTTTCATGAGTAGTATCCCAAATCCAGAGTAATTCTTTTCTAAGCAGGGACTAGCTGGCTTCAATTTTAGATTGTTTCTCCTGTTCTCTCACCCCCCCTTCTGTTAGTTCCTGTCTTCTCTGACCTTGTTTTATCAAACATGTCTGCTTCAGCTTTAGAGGTTTTAGCATTTAATTCCCACCCCTAACTCCATTAAAAAAAACAACACAGAGATTAATTTGGGGCCCTATCATTCATGTTTTTACCCCTTTAACATCCCAGTTAGAAGACAGAGAATACCTAATTGTGTATATCCCAGCCATGTAGCTTAACAAGCATGTCTTGTTGAATTTACTAACACAAGTGGGTTTATGCAGCTTCTGAAAACCCAGTTGTGCTTCTGAACAAAAGGGTATGTGTATAAGTGCTTACATTGGCATAACAAGCTTTAGAATTCACAAGTTCTGTTCTGTGTATGCTGTAAAGCGTTAGATGTACCAGAAGAGCGGATTGAATTCTCTGTTCTCACTAGTAAGTCATTACTTAATTTTAAATGTTCTCTTTGAGGATAAACGGAAAGTTTGGAAGAGAGATTAACTTCAGAATTTTGATTTGTATTAGTGTTCTAATTTGTATCTGCTTTATATTTATTCACTTTTAAAAGAGCACTTAATAAGCAGCTAATAACGGATGGTAGCTAGATTTCAAATAAAGATGTAATTTTCAAGACCTTAATGGAAGAATGCAGGAGAACTAGGAGTTTATAGGTGGAAAATATATTTAAAATTAGTTTTGAGGTAAGTATAACAATATTCTTGGTGGTCTTTTGGTTAAAATGTAGCTCTGAACTGTTAAAAATGCTATAACAATCACTCAGGAAATATCCTGACTGTGGCAAATTGTGGTATATGGTGTCTATTTAATCCCATTGAAAAATTAATATTTAAATATTAAATAAAGGAGACCTTTGTTAGAACATATTGCTTAGATAGTGTTGGAAAAAGGAGTGCTGTAATAATATTAATAAAACTGATCTCAAACTTTTTGAAGTGCAGCCCATTTCTACATACACTCTACTTTTTGGGGACTAAATTGCTCAGTAATTTCATGCTGCTTTTCCCCTTTCCTCAACACAAGATGCAAAAATATCGTGTCAGTTAACAAGGAATAAGTGTGTATGGGGGTGTATTTGTAAATTATTGAGCAACAGGCTGTGTTTTATGGCCATCTTGCACATGAAGAGGCACAAACAGATTTGTTATCAAGCATCCCAGAGTCTCTTCCGTCAGCTTACCCCACCTCCTTTCTTTTGGCCTCAGAACCCACTTTTGGGTGCCAGTGTACAGCTTGAGATCAACTGCACTAATATTTAACACATTTTAAACTTTTGCCCTGGAGACATTCTTCTCTCCAAGTAATTGCTGAAACTGGTTCTCACATGGAATTTAATCTTGATGTAGTTTAAAAAAACGAATGTATTGTTTAATTAAGTCGGATCATCTTGTTTATGTGTGAATATAGAGAATTGTTGGCTTCCGTGTCTCTGTGCTTTCAGCAGACAGCTTTGTTATCCCATTCTTCATCCATTTCAAAATATGTATGAAGTGCTTAGTCTAAAACAGCAAAAGGAGCAGCTTTGTTGGGCAGGTATCTTAGTCTTAATTTTAGTCACTGCCTCTTCTCTCTCTCTCCTTGCTGCATAGTTTTACCGGCTTGGCACATCTGCATTCTGGTGTATTAAACTTCTTTGCTTTGGATGACAAAAGCAACACTTATGTGTCCTGATCATTCAGTGCCAGTATCTTCTGAGAATGGCGTCATTGTTGATTGAAAGCAGCACTGTATTCTGTTGATGTTGTTCATCTTTACTTGGTGTTAAATATATTACTTAAATACTGATCCTAAAGGTTATTAAAATGAATCAAGTTAATTTTTTATATCATTACTTTTTTGGTTGTTTGAATTAATCATGAAAATGGCTTACAGAAGTGGTTATAGGGAAGAGTGTGACATTTGTATGGTACGCGCAGATAATTGTCTGTTGAAATCTTAATGCAGCATTTGTCCAGTCCTGTCTATTTAAAACGTTTCGAATGCAGATCAGCCACTAAGTGGGAATTTAAAACATACACTGAAGTAAAATAGCTTGTTTGTCTAATATCCCTAAATCACCTATTTGTTGAAACAAAGAATCACAAATGTTC